AAAAAAAAAAAAACACCGAGACATATAATAGTCAACATCCCAGAAATTCAGCAAAAGAATAGTATACTAAAATCTGCTAGAGAAAAGAAATATATCACATTTAAAGAAAAACCTATCCGAATAATGGCAGACTTCTCTTCACAAACCTTCAAGTCAAGAAGAGCATGGAGCTAAATACTACAAGTCTTGCAAAAAATAAATTCCAACCGAGACTGATGTACCCTGCAAAACTCTCTTTCAAGTTGAATGGAGAAGTGATGTACTTCCATGACAAAGAACAACTAAAGAATTTCATGATGACAAAGCTAACCCTAAACAGACTACTAAAGGATATTCTAGAGAGGGATCAAAATGGCCACAACTCCATGAATGAGAATGGAAAGAACCCACCAAATAGGGAAAACAATTAAACACAGGAGAAAAAGACATATATAGCAGCAGGTCAATAACTTGTCAAACATAAGTCAGTACACCTTAATTATAACCATTAGTACAAATGGACTCAATTCACCAATTAGAGGAAATAGACTGGCAGAGTGGATTAGGAAGCAAAATCCAACAATAAGCTGTACAAGACTTCATCTATCAATTGACTGGTTTATCTTCATAGTTTTGTCCAGCTGGTAATTTCAATAGTTCTATGATTTGTGCTTCAGGAACACAATGGTTTTCATGGATCATACATAATCCTTTATCCTGGCTTTATGACTTACTGACTTAGAAATAAATTTTCTGCAAGAGTAGGATTCAGTGTAGATATTGCCAAAGTCCTTATCAATTTGAATGTGGGGAAATTAGAGAAATCATGTACTAAAATAAGAAAAGGTATTCTATACTATACATCTTAGTTTTGGAATATGTCTATAATAAATGTGTGTACATGTCTCAAAAAAAATTTTGTCTGTCATTTAGCTCTATCTTTATTCAATAGGTTATTATCCCCTGCTTTCACTTTCCATTTTTAGATATGTTTGTTTTTTCAGTTTCAAGTCACTTGTGCTGTCTAATTCTTAAGGTCAAGATCCACAATTTTGATTTCTTTATTCATTTCCATAGTGCTTTGAGCAATTCTGTCATCAACTAATAGTTTGAGAAATGCTTATTAATCTTAAATTTGAAAGAATTGAGCCAATTTCTTTCTTTGCTTGGAATTGGTTATGTCATAATGAAAAAAACTGCCACATCTAAGTTCCATCTCTGCTCATGTGTTTATGGTCTGTTTTATAACCATGGAATGAAACTCAGTATAGCATAGATTGTAATTATGTAGTTTGAAGGCCTCCTCTATTGGGTAATCTACAAAATTAAAACTCATGCCAAGTGGATTACACTGGTTTTAAACTAGCTCTTGAGAAATGGGGAAACATGCAATATGCCTCAGGCATTGAAAATGAAAATGTGTGAGTTTCATTATTCAAGGAGAGAAAGCCTTTTGTTCCGTTCTGCTAAAAAGCTTGCCAAGAGGTTGTAGCTAAAAACAGGGCAAATATCATAAGACATTTAGAGAAGGACATTCCTTAGGAAAATATTGCCAGTCTAAAAATGCAGGAGGATATGGTGGACTCTAGTAGATTACTCTGAACAGTGACTGTCTCTACTTAGATTGAAAGTCGCCTCTTATATGGCAGTACTTCATGTGGACTCATACACCTTCTGGTTAATGAATATGTGTGGAGTTTGGTTATTTGGGAAAAAAGAGCTGAGAGAAGGAGAATCTCTTTCTCACATCTGATACCTCGTTTGTATGGTGATATCAAACTTCCACACGTGTGCATACACTCTGTCCTCCTGTAAGGGCATTCTATTTTATCTATAACTTAGTAAGAAGGATTTCTCATTCAGAAGCTACCATGTGTGGTTCACTAAAGCTGATGGAGAAAATATACAATGAAATTGAATAGAATATCTTTTAGCCTGGTCATAGGATGGCACTAGGAGACAATTCTCCAAGGAAATATAAAGGGAGCTTCTTTTGGAGTCATACCCACTGGGCCAACATCAGTGGAAGGAAAAGAGAGATTAGATTAGAAGAAAGAAATTAGCTCCCAGTGACCCCAACTACATTTCTTTATCCTCTTCCTGATCTATCCTCAGTTGCATTTTTATGCAGTGCTGCAGTAGTCCAGGTGGCTGTGTACTGTCTCATTCATTTGAGAGAAAGGTGATTTTGAATAATGTTTTAAATTTTCTGCTGTGGAAATGTGCAAACTGATTTTTTTACTAATTTTGTTCTAGTTTGCTTGCTTTGTGAGACAGAATGTGCTCTGCTGAGGTATGCTTGGCTTGTGGAAGAATTTTCAGTTCTTTGTTTGAGAGAATTATAGCTCATTTGCAGGCAACAACTTTCAAAACTTTGGGATTTGAGAGGTTCACCCACTTTTCTTCTTCAGAAGAACTACCCACTTTTCACTGGCACCTGCTAGGCTTCTTTGAGAAATCTGAAAAGGTGACTGCTCAACTAACAAAAGAACTCTCTTGTGCAAAGCAAACATTTTCTTATCTTTATTCAGTTGGGAAGCAAAACAAGACTAAGAACTGGAGATGCCCTGCTAGAGCCCCATATGAAGATAGTGTATGCTCCACTGAAAGACTCGTCTGCTTGAAACAGAACTTGTTTTAGTCTTCTATGTATTTCCACTGAAGCTTCTAACTTAATAAAGGGCACAAGAAAAAAGCTCCGGGGTGCACATTAGCAAAGTAGATAATTATGCTAGGCCATTGGTCCAGGTCTTCCAGGTTAAGAATTAGAAACATAGATGTAGTAATAACTTCATTTCAGATTTATTGAAATCCCCCAGTTGACAATGTGAATTCATGTGCACTTTCACACTTTATTTCCACCAGTATTTTAGGGGATCTCATACATGGGGGCATTTGCATGAGTATTCAGATACAAAATGATATTTTCTTCTTACAGAGATAAGTTGTTTTTAGTAAGATTATTTTAAGAATAGAAAATTAAATGGAACAAAATATTGATATACTATCTGCTATCTAAAAATTCAAGTATAAAACATTAAATATGTTATACCTCTTCAGAATTACACAGCCACTGTCAGAGGACCATAACTATAAGCCCATGAAAACTTTTTTGGTCAGTATTGCAACCTACTTACAATACACAAAGGACTAGTTTATTTGTCATGTTTGCTAATAACAGTAAGGCCAATAGAAGCCCTGGAGGGTGGTAGGATGTTTGAGTATATCTGGATGCCTTGTAAATAGTGAAGTTTTATGGAAATGCTGCAACTACGCTTTGGCGTTGGCTATCAGGTGCTGCAACAGCTCGACAAGGGCAGCACAAATTCATTTTCAGTCAAGCCAAATTTTACTCTACGAGATTCTGGGACACAAGTGCCAAGGCTTATGCTTTCCAGAGACACTGACTTCCTCTAGAGAAAGGTGTGCACTGACCAAGGGGAAGCCTCAATGTTTGACAACGCTTAAAATACCATAACAAGGCCAAAACTAATCCCTCTTGGTATCTGAGGAGTTCACATCAGATACCATCTATGAGAACTTTCACAGCCCATAGTCCTCATGAAATACAAATTTTTAAAAACCTAAAGAGCCCCAGTGACTGACTGACTGACTGACTGACTGACTGACTGACTGGATGATTGATTGATGGAGTGAGTGAGTGAGTGATTTATGCTTCTCATCTCTCTCTGCTTCCCTTCCCTTACTCTCCTTCACAAAGCTCATAGCACGGTATTGCCTGTGTTATCGGCACTCATTGGATCCCTGGGAGACAGATTAAGACACATTACTATTATTCTATTTTCTTCCTTTTAGGGTCTTCCTAGCTCAAAGCACCATGTTTGGTGATACCACTGACCCATTTCTTTCTATTTTCAGATCAAATTAAAACAAGTCATATTGTTTCTGTTGTTGAAGTTGTGTGAGGGGGTCATTTGCTGCGAGGCGATTCTCTGGCTGCCAACCAGGCCAGAATATGAAAACCTCTAGTGTCCATGCTATTTCCTGAGCAAAGTACCCACAGGAAGTAGAATTTACTACAACTTACTGTTTGTGCTCATAAAAAGTACAACTGTATAAAACTCTGGGGAATGAACAACTTAGTAGGATTCTTTCTAGGACTGGCGCACTAGTACACTCGTGATTCCACCAGTCTTTAAAGACTGTGTCTTGTTTATGATCTGATTTGCATTGCTTGGCTTCATCTTATTCTTTTTGTAATTGCAGGTCCTACAGCGATGGGTCTTTGGCAGCTGTTGTTAACCTTGGCACTGGCGGGCTCAAGCAATGCTTTTGTTGGGAGAGAGGGTGAGTTCTGCTTTGCTATTCCTGCCCCAGTGTTATGAGAAAAACACTGAACTTGGTTAAAACAAATTTTTGCATTATTTCATTAAACAATGAAAGTTTTAAGTAGTAGCAAGTGGGAAATATCTCAGCTTTAAAGTCATAAAAAAGAGGACTTCTGTGCACATTTTAGGAAGAATAGAGTAGTCAGCTCTAGCGTCCAGTGTTTTCACATCCAAAATAAATGCTGGGTAGCATAATGAGGGCATTTTTGTTGAAAGCAACCAGATCCTTAGAAAGGTTTGGGAAAGCTTTAGAAATGACACTGAAGAGTTATTAATCTACTGATCATTCACCTCATTGGTGACTAAGCATATCACAGTCTTTTCCCCAAGCTTAGAACTCAGTCCACTTAATCATGTTTTCTGAGAGAGAAAATTGCAAGCTTCAAGTGATTTTCACCTCTCCCTCTCTGAGTGATCACCGTTTGGCTGAGTCTGAGGGAAGAGACACCTGAAATAGCCAAATGAGGTACCCAGAATCTCAGAAGCCATGAGATTCTTTAGTCATCTCTAATTTTCCTTGCTTTTTTATACCCTTCTTCTGGTAGGGAGTTCACAATATTTTCAAACTTACATAGAAGAAACTACAAAATCAAGGAAGAATAATGAAAGGGATATATATATATATATATATATATATCTTTGGTTTTCCTGCTTTCCTGAGCATCGGTGAGGACAGGCCCATGCTATGATATGGTATCTAGTCTTTGCATCTGGAGTAGCTGACTCCTTTGTTCACCACCCAACCAATACTGGAAAACACATTTTAAGAGCACTAAGTATTAAGATGTCCTCCCTGACCTCCAGCCAAACTTGAGCTACTGAGGAGCCACAGAGTAATATAGAAAACAAAAGTAGTAAAATGTGTTATTGCATCTCTTAAAGCAATTCAACAATTCTTATAGGGAAGAAGTCAGAATTGTTTGAAATACGTCTGGGTCTCTCTGCTGTGTAATGTCAGCATTATGCAAGTCCGACATGGACAGCGCTGCAGACACCGCTGCAGTGGCTCTTTCCATGGCTTGTTTTAGACCTTGGTTCTGAGCCAAAGAACTACAGCTGAGATTCTCTGCTGTTCCAAAGTCCTGGTGGCTTCATCATGGCTATCTTAACTAAGGTGACTCTCACTCCACAGGGCAGGGCTGGAGGAATTTTAAAGACCCGTGAAATGGCAAGAAAGGCATAAGAATCTTGAAGGAAATTTTATAATGTGTCCTGAGATTACGCCTAAAATTACATTGTAGGCCCCCAAAACCTACAAAGAGTATTTTTAAAATAACTTTAACATCTTAGCAGAAGTTTAACTTCATAAAAAGCATACAGAAAAATGTGTATCATTAGCAGTTTTTCTAAAAAGATTAACTCTGTGACATATTTAAGATACACCCATATGATGTAAAATACATGTATATAGTAAAATAATGATATATTATGAGGGAATAAATTAACATCGTCATCATCTCATATAGCTGCACCTCCCCTGGGCAAGAGCAACCATAATCCACTCACCTAGCAAAATCATAAATACGATAAACTTCTATTAACTATAGCCCTGATGCTGTGCCTCAGCTCACTGGGCTTGTTCATCCTACACCTCTGCTACTTGGTATTTTTTGACCTAAGTTTCTGTCCAGTTTCACACCACCTCACTGCCAACTACTCCTGTTATTTCTCTCTGCATTGGACTTTGTTTTATTTTTATTTTTTTTCTTTTTTATTAATTTTATTGAGAAGGATATAGCAATGAGAGAGTTACTAAACAAGTTAGTAGGAGAGTTACAATAATTAATACATTGTATATTGTTGTCTGTGTAGTAGTTATTCATAGTACAAGATGCAGACATGATATCTTGTCTAAACATTATTAGTACAAATCTTTCTTCTCATTGAATTAAGAGAAAGTAGCTGTATATCTATCCTATTTTGAAGTGAAATAAAGAAGGCCACAATATAATGGTTAGGGGAAAAATTCCAGAGGAAGAGGTAACACTCATAAATGTGTATCCACCAAACACAGGAGCACCCAACTATATAAAGCAAGTCTTAATGGACATGAAAAATCTAATATCCAATAGCACAATTTTAACAGGAGACCTTAACACACCCTTATCTCCAAAAGATAGGTCAACCAGACAAAAATTTAGCAAAGAAATAACAGAACTGAACCAGAGCTTGAAACTAATGGACTTTGTGGACATATACAGAGTGTTCTACCCAAACACAGCTGAATACACATTTTTCTCAGCTGCACATGGGTCATTTTCTAAAATAGACCACATACTGGTCCATAGGTCATGCCTAAGTATATGCAAGAAAACAGAAATTATCCCATGCACATTATCTGACCACAGTGCATTGAAACTGGAAATAAATGACAAAAGATATGGACTTTGTTTTAGATTCCACATAGAAATAAATTACGTTTTCTTTCTCTGCGTAGTTGATTTCACATTCCCTCACTGACTCTAGGCCTGCTTGTGTTGGGACAAATGGCAGGACCTCTTCTGTAGGGTGAAGAGTAGTTCATCCGTGTAGTTACTTTTCAACTCATCTATTGATGGACACCTAGTTTCTATCCTCTTAGCTGTTGGTAGACACCTAGGTTGTTTCGTGTCTTAACTATTATAAGTAACATTGCCATGAACATAGAAATGCAGGCATCTTCACAAGAAAGTGATTCCATTTCTTTCATTAACTTGCTTTAATATTTGTTTGGGTTTTTTTGTTTTGCTTCTTACTAGTTTTTGCTTGATTTTTTTGGTTTATTGCAAAAAAGTAAAATATAAGAAAATGGTTTATAATAAACACAAATCACATATCTTACCAGTACATTGAAAGTAATTCAGAAAAGAAAAAAAAATTGCATCCTTTTTTCTGCTCTTGTGGAGCTAACCAAAATTTTATTGGACTATGTTGGTGCTCTAGAATAGTTCCTTAAAATGGCCAGAGATTAAGGACAAGACACGGTATTCACATAAGCGGGCATAAACAAGCATGTTCAAGCATGTGTGCGCATGCTTTCATGTGTGTGTGTTTGTGTGTGTGTGTGCTCATTTGCCAGTTCTGGCTACTTATCTGATAGTTCAACCAAACTTAACACATGATAAGACACAAATCATGATCTCAGATGACATGCCTGGGCCATGTGTTTCTTTTTATGCCAAGTCTGGATCAAATCATTTTATTTTTACTTTCACTACTATTGTTTCATAAGCCATTTACTTGAATTCAGCTTGGTCACTGGCAGAGGTAGCAGCATTAAGTGATCACAAAGGCCTCTCCTGGGGAAAAGTCACAGAGGAATTACAAATGACAGAACTGTGTATCTGGGAAAGACTGCTCTTGAGCTCTTGAGCAGAGTTTATCTTGCATGAGCAGATGAGCAATTAGAATTATAGTATGCCCAAGAGGATGTTTTTTTTTAATTTAGTCTAATTACCCTGTAAAAAATTTAAAGAGAACTAAATATTGAATAGTGTCATCATTGTCTTAACTGAAGTATTACAATAGATATTTTCCCTTTATTTTATTTTATTTTTGTATTTTTGTATTTAGGACAGGGTGTACAGGGTCTCACTGTGTAGATTGGACTTGTAGTGATCCTCTTGTTTACAGCCTCCCAAGTACTGGGATTACAGGTGTGCGCCACCATGCTCAGTCTCAATCGCCATCTCAGCACACCTTGGGGGCGGGGCAGGCACGGCGGGCCCAGGGATCAAACTCCCAGCCCATAATATTTTCCCTTTGTCTTTCATCCTTAATATGAAGCTCTGTATCTTCTTACCAAAGTAGGTTACAGAGTCATGGAGAGCTTTCTATTCCAAAATCAAGAATAATCAAAAATGCTTCATTTTTCAAGGGAGCTTTACCAGATTAATCTATCAACTGGCTGAATCAGAATTGCTGCTCCTAGAATACTGCTAGTGAGAAATGTGCATAAAGGTCTAATTGAGTCTGTTATAAATTAAGCTTACATCTTTACTACATCAAACAGTCCAAAACTGAGCCTCCCCTTGAGCTGCACAATCTAAGGCAGAAGTAGACAGTCCCCTGCTCTGGAGAAGTCAGTTTAGCAGAGACAGTAGGAACTTCTAGAATTAGTGAAAGACTGTAGAACTACAAGGTTTAGAGTTAGTGTGAGGAAGATACATGGTCAAGAAGCTTTGAACAAAAGAAATCAAAGTAGAATGGAATAGTCAATGCCACAAGTTCCATCCAGACTTTTTTAAAGTTTTCTATTTCCGTATCTTGAACTTTAGGGCTATGATTCTTCTCTCAAGAGCTATATCATAAGTTAAGAAATCAGGCATATACATCAAGAATTATAATATCAGGTATGGTACATGAAGTGGCCTGAACTTTATAGAGTAGCAATAAAGGGAGACCACTCTGTAGTGAATCAGAGAGCTTCATGAAGGAAGTTCATTTCAGCAGGGGATGGAATGCATAGTTAAGATGTTAAAAAACTGGTAACAGCAGGAATAGCTGTTGAGTTGAAGAAATATGTACAACCAAGTGCAGGTGAAGATATGAGGGGACATGGTGAATGGTGTATTTATTTTCTGAATTTACACTATGTTCAGGGCTCCATGCCAGACAATGAGTGCTTCTAATTTATGCATTCAACATTCAGAAAATATTTATTGGGTACCTAGATTGGGAATGGCAGAGAATTAATCTGGCCAAGGTGCATGGCACATGGATGCTAAATTTATAAAGTTTCCCCTGGGAAGTAAAATTAAGTCTATAGATGTGTGTCAAATGATGGCCTAGAAATTGTCAGTCTTAATAGAAAAAGAAAGGTTTGCTGGACCCTAAAGATTGAGTAGTATTTGGAAAGAAAAAGAGGAAAGAGGAAATATATGACATATACAAAGAATAATAGTCCTTCTCAAAGTTATAGTTGGCCAGCCAAAAATGCCAAGTATATGATGAAACATTATTTGTGTTTGTGATGTCATG